TTTTAGTCCAAAAATGAAAGTTGAGTGACTGAATCGGGGATATAACCTAATTTTTTTGGATAAATAATATTACGTGGGTCCTTGCCGACGGAGCAATGGCTACAAGCAGGCGTACAAACGACAACAAAACTGCAATTTAAAGGAGAATCTTCACCTTACCAAGACCTTGCTCGGACTAATACACCCATCCCAATTTATTCCGCATAATAAATTCCAATATATGTTTATATCTGCAATAACACGGAACAATACTCCCTATAGCCGCACTTGCGCCGTCGGCCCAATTACATCAAGCCATGTTTAAGTGTTTTTATTTTTTATTTTTGGGGTAACGGTTTAAATTTAATCTATTGTAGAATTATTCAAAAAAAGAAAAACTCCCTATAGCCACCCTTATTAATATTATATTTAAAAATATTAATTTAATTTAATTTAATTGAAAATTATTATTTATTTTACTAATTATTAATTAATTATTGCTTTTATTAATTATTTGTATTAATTAAATTAAATTGAATCCAAATTTTTAAAAATAATATTTTACAAAATTTGGTGACTATAACATTAATAAAGATGGCCATAACCTCGGCTAGTCTTGTTAACTAGTAATTGTTCTCACCCCTAAACAAAGTTTTTTTTTTTTTTTATATTAAATATGTTATAATTTTTGGAAGAAGGAGATTCGAACTCTAATTTTAAAACTAAGATGATTAAGCATATAGCCATAGGTGCCTCTAAACAAAGCATTGTTTGTGATTCGATGTAAATTAAAAATTTTCCATAATCATTTAACTGTTAATAGCTTTAGTAAAGCATATTTATTGTTTGCTTTAAAGGTAGAGTTTTATTTATTGCCTAATAATGAAGGGATTTATATGTAACTTTAATTAACAAATGAATGTGCCGTTTGTTTTGGTTGATTTCAATAACCTATAATTACTAATGAATATTTAATGATATAAATAAAAATTAAGATATTTTAATATTTTAATGTTAAAATACTTTGTAAAATTATTTA